ATTATGTAAGTTTTTATGGGTGATGTTAGTGATAGTATATCAGACCTGAGTTCATTAAATAGTTGACTGATCAAAGGAATGTTTTTATATTATGTATATATAATAGCATTGTTATATGTTTTTAGGCATGTGAGCTATAATTTATGCATGTTTTATAAAATATTAACTGCAGAGAGTGAAAATTCTGCCTAGTTTTCAGACGATCTGAGTAAATAATTGGGCAGTTAAGGGATGTTTTTAGATGGTGGTTAATAAAATAGAATATGTAGTCATTTGCTCTAAACATTTAGTCTTCGATTTGCAGGGATGTTTTTACATACATATCTATGTAGACATATAAACACATATGAATACATGCACATATGTGTGTATAAAACTAGTGATACTGAAAGTAATAGAATGGAAATATTTTGGGGGCCAGTTATCATTTGGCTTTAGTCTTGGGTTCTTTGGGTTCTTTGAGGGCAGATGATATAGCAAGCTTTAGTTTATGAGCTTTATTTATTGCTGGAGAATATTGTGTGGCTGCTAGATATGTGGTAAACATGTGTTAGTTTTTTAAAATGATGTCTACATAGGATTTGCCTGGTAGGCATGTATTTTGTGAGAACCAAACTGATAGACAAAAGTAAAAACACTATTTTGACAAATTGAATTGCTAAACTACTTGTATTTGGGATATATTTGGTTGCTAGGGATTAATTTGTTACTTTGCTTTCTATATTGCAGATACATGCTATTTCATAAAATATTTTTAATTTCTGTCAATAATTTTGGAATACCTTTTCATTGAAACATTAAAGTACGGTCATTGTTTGATCTTAAAGTAGAGTGAGCATCTTGATGAATTAGGCTAGGATTTTGAGTTTTATTATTATTTATAAATAATATTTATTATTTTTTATTATTCTTGAGGTTTTCTCATTAGACATTATTTGTTACAGTGTAGAAATCATCATTCATATTTTTAAATACACAGACTTGTGTATTTTTTCTTTCCATCTAAATTTCGAGTTTTAAATATTGGAACAGAGTAAGGACACATTCCACACTTGTCTAACAGGCAAGTTCTTCTTTAACAAGTTCCTATGTGTTCTAAAACCACACACACACACACGGAATCAATATATTAATGTTAAACTAATGGTGAAAAATATATATTATGAATAGAAGTGTTGCATGACCATTATGTGTTTATACTTAGTCTGTATGGGGGGGACAGTATTATTAGGTGGTTGTGTGCCTGTGATCAGATTTTTGTTTTTTGTACCATATAATGCTAGATATTCAGAAATTTCTGTCATGGTTTTGAATATATATTTACCTAAAAGTCATAGCACATAAGCTTTATGCTTGTAGAAATGGAATGGTACATTAAGTATCACTGTTCTTGAGTGACTTTTAGAATGCTGTGTATGCAGTTAAAAACATGTGTTCTTTCTAGATACAGACATTTCTTATATAATTTTACCTCTAATTGTGGGCCATGTAGGTGTAACATATTTTCCCAGATGTGCTAAGGTTCCTGATGCAATTCAGTTTCCTAAAGAAAATTGTATCAAAATGTTTGTGTTCACTTGCTAACATGGCAATAGCCAAAATAATTTTGTAAATAAGGAGCAAGAGTAATTTAGTTTTAAACATGTAATATTTCTAAATATACTGAAAATCTAAAAAGTTTAATTTTATAACTATTTCATTATAAATGTGTTAGTACTATTGTCTTTTAAAATCAACATAGCAATGAAGTTGACAAACAGGCCTTTGTAGCTATGCAAAATTTATCATACATTAGTTTGGTTGCTAAGTGGAAACAATGACAACATTACACATTTATCCTGTTCTCTTATAGAAGGAGAATTGGCTGTTGTATCAAGTACGTATATTTAAAACTTACACCATGTAAATTCTTTTGGCATATCTTAATTCAAACCAAGATTCCTGACATATTTCATTTATATTATTTTTATGAAGAGCAGTTTCAGGTTCACAGAAAAATTGAGAGGAAGGCACAGATTTCCCATGTACCCTCTGCCTGAACACTTGCATAATTCCCCACATTATCAACCCAGTACATGTATGAAAATCCACCTCCATTATCAAATCCCCTATGAGAGTTGGACATTTGTTAAAATTGATGACCCCACATTGACAAAATCACCCAGTGCCAGTAGTTTATATACATTATGATTAACTCTTGCTCTTGTACATTCTTGGGTTTGGAAAAATATATTAATCATCATCATATTGTAATGGCCCTAAAAAGCCTCTGTGCTCTAAATACTCACCCTTCTTTTATTTTTTGTCTTTATTTTTTTCTTCTTAACATTCAAATTAATAAATGACTTTGTCAAAGAAATTTTATACTACCTCTTGGAACTATATACAGTTTTGTATGTGTTCCCTCAGTTGCATGACAATATTCAAGACAATTTTGTAAATAGTCAGATATAGGTTTTAGTTTTTAACATCTAGACTTTCTAGATGTATAGAGTCTCACAGAGTATAATTTTGTAAATAATTCTTTGTAAAGTTCCATTGTTTTCTTCAGAAATCTCAGCAGTGAAATTGATGCTGTTGTGGATTTCTTGAGCTGTTTAGGATTCTGCTTTCTGAGTTATGGAAAAGCAAGAGTTAAAATGGCACTTTTCATTTTTGGATTCTCATCTAAGAGAAAGTTTTATATTTTAATCATTGTTTAGTCCTTAGATTTTTGTACATTAAAAAAGTCAAGTAATAATTTGTAGTTGTACTATTGATAGGGCATTATATATTTTAATGAAAGGAAATGTGTCTTATAAGATTTTATTGCCTTTGAATTATACAGTGTTGTACTTAATTGGAATGCATGACAACATACAAGACAACATTGTAAATAGCAGTAAAAGAATCATTAAAAAATCTAGTTTTTCTAGATGCATGGGATTTCACTAAGTATAAATTTGTAAATATCTTGTAAAATATCATGAGGTGGCTTCTATGAATGTATTAGCAGGGTAATAACTTATAATTGGCTTTTAGGACTGTAATATTTTGGTGTTTAGTTCAGTTGCTCAGTCATGTCCAACTCTTTGTGATCCCATGGACTCTAGCATGCCAGGCTTCCCTGTCCAATAACAACTCCTGGAGCTTACTCAAACTCATGTCCATTGAGTCGGTGATGCCATCCAACAGTCTCATCCTCAGTCGTCCCTTACTCCTTCTGCCTTCAATCTTCCCCAGCATCAGGGTCTTTTCAAATGAGTCAGTTTTTTGCATCAGGTGGCCAAAGTATTGGAGTTTCAGCTTCAGCATCTCTCCTTCCAATGAACGTTCAGGACTGATTTCCTTTAGGATGGATTGGTTGGATCTCCTTGGAGTCCAAGGGACTCTTCAAGAGTCTCCTCCAACACCACAGTTCTAAAGCATCAATTCTTTGGTGCTCAGCTTTCTTTATAGTCCAACTCTCACATCCATACATGACTACTGGAAAAACCATAGCTTTGACTAGAAAGGACTTTTGTTGGCCAAGTAATGTCTCTGCTTTTTTATATGCTGTCCTGGTTGGTCATAACTTTTATTCCAAGGAGCAAGTGTCTTTTAACTTCATGACTGCAGTCACCATCTGCAGTGAATTTGGAGCCCGAAAAAGTAAACTCTCCTTGTTTCCATTGTTTCCCCATCTATGCCATGAAGTGATGGGACCAGATGCCATGATCGTAGTTTTCTGAATGTTCAGTTTGAAGCAAACTTTTTCACTCTCCTCTTTCACATTCATCAAAAGGCTCTTCAGTTCTTCTTTCCTTTCTGCCATAAGGGTGGTATCATCTGCATATCTGAGGTTATTGATGTTTCTCCCAGCAGTCTTGATTCCAGCTTGTACTTCATCCAGCCTGGCATTTCTCATGATGTACTCTGCATGTAAGTTAAATAAGCAGAGTGACAATATACTGCCTTGACGTACTCCTTTCCCGATTTGGAACCAGTCTGTCGTTCCATGCCCAGTTCTAACTGTTGCTTCTTGACCTGCATACAGATTTCTCAGGAGGTAGGTCAGGTCATCTGGTATTCCCGTCTCTTGAAGAATAAAGCAGAAATATATGTTTTTCTGGAACTCTCTTGCTTTTTTGATGATCCAACAGATGTTAGTAATTTGATTTGTGGTTCCTCTGCCTTTTCTAAATCTAGCTTGAACATCTGGAACTTCATGGTTCACATACTTTTAAACTAGGTGTCTCTTTGCTCCCTACTTTTGCATTCCAGTCCCCTATAATGAAAAGGACATCTTTTTTGGGTGTTAGTTCTAAAAGGTCTTCATAGAACTATTCAACTTCAGCTTCTTCAGCATTACTGGTGGGGCATAGAGTTAGATTAGTGTGATATTGAATGGTTTGCCTTGGAAATGAACAGAGATCATTCTGTCATTTTTGAGATTGCAACCAAGTACTGCATTTCTGACTCTTTTATTAACTGTGAGGGCTACTCCCATTTCTTTTAAGGGATTCTTAATGACAGTAGTAGATATAGTCTTCATCTGAATTAAATCACTATTACAGTCCATTTTAGTTCACTGCTGAAATGTCCATGTTCACTGTTGCTATCTCCTATTTGACCACTTCCAGTTTGCCTTGATTCATGGACCTAACATTCCACGTTCCTGTGCAATACTGCTCTTTACAGCTTCAGACTATACTTCCATCACCAGTCACATCCACACCTCGGTGGTGTTTTTGCTTTGGCTCCATCTCTTCATTCATTTTTGAGTTATTTCTCCACTGATCTCTAGTAGCATATTGGGGACCTATTGACCTGGGGAGTTCATCATTTTGTGATGAACACAAAGTAAATACAAGAAAGTGTTTTGGGGGTTCTCAAGGCAAGAATACTGAAGTGCTTTGCAATTTCCTTCTCCAGTGGAGCACGTTTTTCTATAACTCTCCACCATGGCCCGTTTATGTTGGGTGACCCTACACAGCATGCCTCGTAGTTTCATTGAGTTAGACAAGGCTGTGGTCCATGTGATTAGTCTTCTGTGATTGTGGTTTTCATTCTATTTGCCCTCTGATGGAGAAGGATAAGAGGGTTATGGAGTTTCCTGATGGGAGAGACTGACTGAGGGGGAACTGGGTCTTGTTCTGATGGGCTGGGCCATACTCAGTACATCTTTAATCCAATTTTCTGTTGATGGGTGGGGCTGTGTTACCTCCCTGTAGTTTGACCTGAGGCCAAACTATGGTGGAGGTAATGAAGATAATGGTGACCTCCTTCAAAAGGTCCTGTGCACACACTGGTTTACGGAGTGCCCCGACCCTGCAGCAAGCCACCACCAACCCAGGCATCCTCTGGAGATGACTGGACATTCACCAGCAAGTCTGAGTCGGTCTCTTCTGAGGCCACTGCTCTTTCTCTTGGGTCTCGGTGCACACAAGGTTTTCTTTGTGCCCTCCAAGAGTCTGTTTCCCCAGTCTTGTGTAAGTTCAGGTGGCTCTGTTGTGGGGTTAATAGTGACCTCCTCCAGGAGTGCCTATGCTATACCCAGGTCTGCTGCATCCAGAGCCCCTGCCCCAGCAGCAGGCCCCTGATGATCCATTCCTCCACTGGAGACGCACTCAAAGGCAGGTCTAGCTCAGACTCCGTGGCATCCCTGGTGAGCCCAAGGTTTTGTTTGAGCCCTTCAAGCATCTGGTGGGTATGGGGTTTGATTCTAAACGTGATTTTGCCCCTCCAGCCATCTTGCTGGGGCTTCTTCTTTGCCCTTGGATGTGGAGTATTCTTTTTTGGTGGGATCCTTCATTCTCCTGTCAACAGTTGTCCAGCAGCGAGTTGTAATTTTGGAGTTCAGAGGGGAAGATGAGCGCCTGACCTTCTGCTCTTCCATCTTGGGTCTATCATTACAGTTGGTGTTTATGCAGTGAGTTTTTGGGCATAGTGATGCCTAGATTGTCTCCATGTCTGCAGATTGTTAGATTCTCATAGGAAAAAATTAGATTGCATACTTTTAACAAAGAAAAATGACCAAAGGATTTTACTTTTATCTTTAGGAAGAAAGGAAGACATTAAAAGGGAATTGTCATTTAAGTCCTAGCTATTTTCATAGCTAGCATAAAGTAATGGTTATTTTGCTGTACTATATAAATGTACTGGTTGAAAATTTATATGCATATACAAATATACTGTAAATGTATATACACATACATATGTAAAATTATTTTTAGGGACATAGATAGGATAATTTCTTTTTAAACATCTATTCATTGCTTTACTTGTTTTCTTTTTGGAAAAAAATGGAAATTGAATTTCAGTTATAAGCTTAAATGTGTAGAAACCTGCTTCATTTATATCTAAATGTTAATTTTTATATAAAATGTTTAAGTGGCTATGTATTTTTTTTAATGTTTCCATATATACTTCTGTGCAAACAGAATTTCTGTGATTTTGAGTTTTTCTTTTTTTTTCTGAGAGCTTTTGAAAATTTTCTGGGGGTAGTTAAATTTGTATATTATAATCAGTAACTAATGTCAGGAGTATTCTCAGTTGCCTATAATGTAAATAATGAAAATTTGTTAGAAGTATCATTAGTATATCTTACTTTGTGTAGCAGTTTGGCAATGACAATCAAAATTTGAATATGTAAAACTTTTGAAATGATAAAACGCTGATGGGATTTTACCTATTACTGTTCTCAAATTCATAAAGAAGAAAATATGTTAGAGATTGTAACATAATTTGAATGTTTGAAATATGCATCATTAAAAGAAGAATTGTAATGATAGCTTATTTGTATGACTGTCATTCAAACACTGAAAAAATATTCTGATGTTGAAGAATGTTTTAAGTTGATTCTTTTAATTGTCATTTCTGAACAGATAACAGCTAAATGTGTATGCTGAGGTGTGTCCATATGCCTCTTTTTTCTATTTGAAATATTAATGGTTAGTATTCCTAGGGACTGGGTTTATTCTGACATGATGATAGAGTTAAATAATGCTTACTCAGTAGTGTTAAGTATAATGGTGATTATTTTAGCATTCTTTTTGAAACTTTTGCACATGTGTAAGTTCAGTTCTAAAACATGTTGCTACATGACAGTGTAAAAATACAAATGTGGATTATGTAATAGAAAGTTGTCTGGAAAATCATAGCAAAAATTTAACATTATTATATAAATATACCAGGAAAAAAGGGACAGCTGCTATTTACTGCCTTTAAAATTTTAAATTTCAAAAGCAACATCTAACAAACGAAGGAACATAAAAGATACAGCCAATTTGTGCTTGTCTTCATCATTACCTGTTGACATTTTGGAGTGTTGGGCTGTTGAATCCAGCTTTGGATTCCCAGTGACTGTTACGCATAGCTTTTGAGTGATCATGAAGAGTGTGGACTTAGATACTAGTGCAGCAGAGAGTTTACAACAGTGAAACAAAGAGTATTTGATAACCCTCGGAAAGAAGGGAGAAGATGGGATTTGAGGTAGGTGCTATACAATTATATTTGGGTTGACAAACACATGAATGATAAAAGTAGTCATTGAAAGTTTCTATAAAGGGTAATTTTATAAGACAGTGCCATATTTGTGGCATATTGTTGAAGCAAAGTCTCTTGGAATAACTTGGGAATTACTTTTAATTAATGGGCCTAATTGGAGAATGGATTATTTTCCTTTACAGTAGTTTGAGTCTGTTGAATAGGTTGGTCATAGGTCTTTATGGCTTTTTAGATTATTCAGAATTTGTATGAAAAATTTCAGTAGTCTCAACATTCATACTGAAAGGACTCTGAGAAGATGTAAAGTGTAAAAAAAAAAAAATCTGTTTGGGCCAGTCATGTTTGCTAGGTTTTTAGTTTGCATTCACTATTCTTGTCACTTCTAAAGTTATCATAATTTGTGTCTCCTGGAGTTTTATTTTTATCTGACCTTGGCTTTATTGTATACTTGCTTCTCAGGTAAATATGGTGAAAGAAAACATGCAGATAATCTGAGGATATCTGACATCATCAGGAACATTCTTCCTATGGAGTTCCTTAATTTATAAGTCTCAACTGTAAACCACAAGTAAGAAGGTTCTGGATCAAGAAATGCTGTATTTTGGCTAGGCTCAGGAAAATAACACTGGTGCAGACTTCATGCACTTTGGAATTATCAGATATTCCTGAGAATCAGTAAGTAAGCCAGTTATTTTAAAATATAATTGCATTAAAGATGGAGTCCATGAATAATGTAGGCGATGGCCCGCCTTCAGTTAATTTACTTAACACCAAATAGGATAACATAACTAATATTGCAAAACAAATGATGATCAATATTTTACTAATTATAAATTAGGGAATAGACTGGCTATTTTTGCATGTATAGTTTGGTGGTATGATAATGGTAGAGGTTCATGGCAGCCTAAGAAAGATGCTGATATAAAATAATAGTAGTAAATTTATGTTGGAGAGTTGAATCAGCTACAGGATTGATTGATTAATGAGGAACTGTTTCTAAGTGTTGGTTCCACATTAGCCTCCACTTACCTGCTGCTTCAGTGTTTGGTCAGAATGCTATGTGTTTTACCTTATTATGTTCTTTTTACCTGTAGGGAGGCAGTAGTTCAAGAAAAGATACTTTTGCCATCTTTGTTTTAATGTCAGTAAGTGTTGTCACCAGACCAGTTGCATTATTGCTCATTCCAGGTTTTCTTCACTTCCATCTCTGGGCTCAGGAGAACCCCTTGATGACAGTGATTGTAAGGGCAGTCTGAGTGCTCATTTGATTCAAGGCAGGGCACTTTGGTTTGACAGGAACTGATATTCTGCTTTCCTTAAATTTGATGGAATTTTGGTGGCAGCTAGTGTTTATTGTTCAGATAACATATAGGTAACAAATTATCCTAAACTTAGTAATATATAATACATTATTGTGCTATTTCTACAGATTCTGTGGGTGAAGATTTCTGAGAGTGCCAGAATGTATGTGGAATCAACTGGGAAGACCCAGTCCAATGATTGAGAGTGATTCAAACCACTGGAGTGTTCTGGATACTCACATCTGGCACTGGTTTTAGATGACTTGGAAGGTGGGCTTAGCTAAAAGGCTTTTAACCATCACACAGTCAAGTTCTCACTTGAATCATAAAAATAAGTGTTTGAAGTGGCATGGCCTTTTTTGGTCTAGTTTCAGAGGTTATGTAGCATCATTTCTGCCATATTCTGTTGGCTAACCTTGTCATATGGCCAACCAGAATTTCATAGCATGGTGGGATAGTGCCAAGGTGACTGCAGGCACAGATAGCTTGTAAGACCAGATAGAAGACAGTACAATAGGTTAAGAGCTACAAATGTGAAGCTTCAGTAGTTTTTTTGTTTTTGAAGGGGTCCTTGATTTTCAGAATTCCACTTTTCTCACACTGAGAGAGATAATTTTTGGCAAATATCTTACTCATTGCCTGACATAAAGTCATACTGAGTTGTTTTGTGATTTGGGGAGTTAATTAGGCAAAAGATAAGAAATTAGGGAAAAAGTACATGATTTTTGGATTAAGTCACTTGGGAAATGCAAAATGGAAAAGTTTCAGGTCCAGTATGATACCAAAATGCAGAATCTTAGAATTCCTGAAGCTGTGGAACTATGGGAAGAATGAGAGGGGACAGCTGTTGATGAAGTCAGTAATGTAACAGATGCTGAATTCCTGCACTTGATACCCTAGGAGCTTTTCTTTCATTCCCCATTCTACCTTGCTGTACGATTACTTCATGGAATGTGCTGGCAAGAACTGAATACTGACAAATTCCTTAAACATTCTTTCTCAGAGAGCCTTATTGCCCACCTGCTGTCCATGGGATAATCTTGAAAGTAAAAGTTTTACCTTTAATCAGAAAATGTTTCCTTTTTCCTCAGGGATAAATCACAACTAAAAAGAAGATTACAGGCTTCCCTCATAGCTCAGTTGGTAAAGAATCTGCCTGCAGTGCTGGAGACCCCAGTTTGATTGCTGGGTCAGGAAGATTCACTGTAGAAGGGATAGGCTACCCCCTCCAGTATTCTTGGCCTTCCCTTGTGGCCCAGCTGATAAAGAATCTGCCTGCACTGCAGGAGATGTGGGTTCGATACCTGGGTTGGGAAGATCCTCTGGAGAAAGGGATAGGCTACCCACTTAAGTATTCTTGGGCTTCCCTTGTGGCTCAGCTGGTAATGAATCCACCTGCAATGCAGGAGACCTGGGTTCGATCTCTGGGTTGGGAAGATCCTCTGGAGAGAGAGAGAGGTTCCCCACTCCAGTATTCTGACCTGGAGAATTCCATGGACTCTAGTCCATGGGATCACAAAGAGTCCGTCATGGCAGAGCCATTGTCCTTTCCTTTCTTAAAGACAAGATTAATGGTGTTTTGAGAGGTACCTGCTCAGCAATTTTGATGGGGCCTAGAGTAATGGATTTGGAGAAGGCAGTGGCACCCCACTTCAGTACACTTGCCTGGAAAATCCCATGGATGGGGGAGCCTGGTAGGCTGCAGTCCATATGATCACTAAGAGTTGGACACGACTGCGTGACTTCACTTTCACTTTTCACTGTCATGCATTGGAGAAGGAAATGGCAACCCACTCCAGTGTTCTTGCCTGGAGAATCCCAGGGACGGGGGAGCCTGGTGGGCTGACGTCTACAGGGCCGCACAAAGTTGGACACCACTGAAGTGACTTAGCAGTAGCAGCAGCAAAGTAATGGATTAGGAACTAAATGTTTTCCTAAGTTCCCTTGTAGCCTTTATATCTTTTTTTCCCATTTATTTTTATTAGTTGGAGGCTAATTACTTTACAATATTGTAGTGCTTTTTGTCATACATGGACATGAATCAGCCATGGATTTACATGTATTCCGCATCCCTATTAGTTACTATTTTTCTTATCAAATGGACTAAGCTTCTTGGATATTTTCATTGAAATGTTTAGGTATTGGTATGTTTCTTATACAGAAAGCCATGTAGATTGCATGATATCATGAGTGAGTGCTCTGGAGATATAAGAGTAATAAAAAGGGGACATAGACAATGTGAGGAGAAAGTTCAAAGGATCAGTCCAGAAGATATAAGAAGCAAGATGTAAGACTACCAACACCTGACTTTCTCATTGTTAAAAGAATTCCAAAGCAAATTTTGATTCACCTGTTGTTTTTTCATATTAGAATTGCTATTTATTGCATTTCATTTTATGTAATGAAGTGTGCTACTAACCTTTACCCATTTTTCCCCAGTGTGTCCTCTCAAGTGATGACTACATAGGAAAACTGATGCTACTGATTCTGCCACCATCTTCCATAAAACCAAAAAATAATCTTCATAATGTATGGCAATTCCTCATTATTGTATTGCAACAAACACTCCCTGTAGATCAGAAAAACTGGCTGAGAAGGCTCAAATTTGAAAGTGACCCAAAGTGTGATTGGAGAGAATTGTAACCAGGCATGTGGACTGTTTTCATTGTTGCTATTGGACTGAATCTCAGGAGCTTGAATGATGGAGACATTGTTACACAAAGACGCCCAGGATCTTGTAATGTCAAAGCTTCATTTCAATGCTCCCAAAAGTATTAGTGCGTATATTTAAAACTTTCATTTATCACAGGGAAATTTAAAATTGATTCATAAAAAAAATCACAATTTTCAAGATTTCAAAGGATATGGAAAATTTTAAGTATAACATTTTACTTTTTAAATGCTGTTTTTCCTCCTCTGATTCTGCCACCTCTGTCTATGTTACCTAATTATTGTTGAAATTTTGTGCACATCCTGTGGGTTTATTGATCAGTTAACACAGCATTTTAGGGGATCTGTATATACTAGCCATAGATTTTTCTATTCAGTAAACATTGTTTATATATAAATTTACAACTAATTTGTTGAGATAAATTCCAGTGAAACTGTGAAGACTAAGGACACCCAGCATTTATAGTTTCGAGTCCAAAGTAAAATAGATTTTCCTCTCTTATGTAGGCAGGATTTCATCAATCTTATCTGCAAGTGTTTATGTGGATATATTTGCTAAAACTGTATAAATGTTACGTTTTTATTCTTTGGCAAGATGATGTTACAAAGAAATTGGCCTTTTCTTCTGTTAACGGTTCAGTTCTGTCATCTCATATTTGCTTAGTCCTTACCAATCTCTTGCGTTATTTCATTTTGCTCTGGTTTTTTTTTTCTTTCATTTTCCTTGCTATATCAATGTCTTAGTGTAGTGCAAATGAAATACCATATTTTATTGCTGTCAATTTTCTGTGGTGTTTTGTATTTTGGTTGTGTATTAAAGTATAATCATACTGTGTTTTATGCCTTTTGAGTTTTGTGTTTTTCTTTAAAACACATTTGTATTAGTATCATTTCTTCTCTGTTATTTTCCTCAGATGTTTTGCCATTTTATTTCTCTTTCCTTTTATCCTTACTGTGGTTTTACATATTCAAATTGTTTACCGTGACTTAGGTAGTTACCACTCATCTTTACTTCTGCCATAATCATAGAAATTCTGACATATAATTGATTGAATTTCTATTTATTTGTCTGCCTTACTTTCTATTGTTACTTTAAAATTACTGATGAATCTTTTCTATTCCACTGAGCTCTATCTCATTTCTCTTCTTTTTCAGAATATTCCCTGTCTGCACTTGCATTTTTTTCTCTCAATTGATGCTTAAAATTACATTGCAAGTTGGAAAAAATAATGCAGTTTTTATTTCATTTGCAACAATTTAATAGATTAATTAGGAGAGACTAGATCTCTTTAAAATTGAGAGTTCCTGTCAAACCACAAGGTATGTCTTTCTATTTTTTTAATCAAATTGTTATGTTGGAATACTGCTAGTTTAGCTTTCTTTTTAAAATTCATTCCCAAGCATTTCATAGTTTTGTTAATGTAGTGATGGGGATTACATAACTAGTTTTTTTCTTATTAATATATGTAACTCAGCTTTCATATTTTTCAAATACAATTTCATTGAAACTCAATGATTTTCTTTATGTACTTAAGTACTTATGGGTCATCTTAGGAACTTTTTCTCCTTTAAGAAATTTTCATCACATTTGGTGACAGGTTTAATAAAATGTCTTGTTTTCAAGTTGATCATACTTGCCATTTTAATTATTGATTAATTAAGATATAACTGAATTTTTCTAAAAATGAATATTTTTGTATCCAATGAATATGTGAACTACAATTGGTTTATATTATCTCTCCCCTATTAGAGCCATCATTATTTTCTTGACACTTTCTGAGAAGATAGTCCTAAACACAGAACTTTATTTTGTGCTTGCTTTACTAGCTCTGTCAAAACTGTTTTGATTGTTTTTTCATTGGACTGGAAACAGGAAATATTAGCCTTATTTCATTTTTAATTCTATTAAAAATTTTTATAGACTTTATTCCTCCACGAATGTTGCAAGGTACTGCATAGGCTTTTGTTGTTCATTTGTGTTTTTAATATTTTCCAACTACTTATGTAAACATCTTTCATTTGCAGTATACAGTTATATAAAACAGGAAATGTCTGTTGATGTGCTGTTATCAACTGATAATTTTATACATCTAAAGTGGTATCCAACATTGCATGTAGTTGTCAAAGTCTGCTTAATTTCTTATTTGGGACGACTGTTCAGTTTGCTTTGATTTTCTTGATTTTTAACACTTGGAGAATCTACAAAATACCTGAACCACGCGCATCTCTCTGTATGAGTTTGTGTGCTTTTTTTTCCCTTTGAGTTTGAAATTATACACTTTTGTCAAAATTACTACAGAAGTGATGTAGTTCTCAGTTCATCACTAGGGATCACATAATGTTGACAGTGGGCTTTCCTTGTGGCTCAGTGGTAAAGAATCTGCCTGCCAAGCAGGAGACTTGGGTTGAATTCCTGGGTCTGAAAGACTGCCTGGAGGAGGGCATGACACCCCACTCCAGTATTCTTGCTGAGGAAATCCGATGGACAGGAGCCTGGGGGGCTACAGTCCATGGAGTCATAAGTGAGTCCGACGTTTTAACCAACAACGTATGTTGACAGTGCCTTATGACTAGTGATGTAGCTTTGCTTACTTAGTGTTGTAATTAATAAGTATCTTTTGTAAAAGATAATGTCAGTACTCTTATCATACTTTGATATTGCTAATTTTAGTGTGTATTGAAGTTTCTTGTCAAATCATAATTTTAAGAAAATCTGTCGTCTACATTTTATTTTTATTTTTTAAATTTATTTATTTCAATTGGAGGCTAACTACTTTACAATATTGTAGTGGTTTTTGCCATACATTGACATGAATCAGCCATGGGTGTACTTGTGTTCCCCATCCAGAACCCCCCTCCCACCTCCCTCCCCATCGCATCCCTCAGGGTCATCCCAGTGTACCAGCCCTGAGCACCCTGTCTCATGCACCAACCCTGGACCGGTGATCCACTTCACATATGATAATATACACGTTTCAACACTACCCTCTCAAATCATCCTACCCTCAACTTCTCCCACAGAGTCCAAAAGACTGTTCTTTACATCTGTGTCTCTTGCTCTCTCCCATATACGGTCATGGCTACCATCTCTCTAAATTCCATATATATGTGTTAGTATACTGTATTGATGCTTTTCTTTCTGACTCACTTCACTCTGTATAGTAGGCTCCAGTTTCATCCACTTCATTAAAACTGATTCAAATGCATTCTTTTTAATAGCTTAGTAATGTTTCATTGTGTATTATACCTACCACAGCTTTCTTATCCATTCATCTGCCAATGGACATCTAGGTTGCTTCCATGTCCTGGCTGTTGTAAACAGTGCTGCGATGAACATTGGGGTGCACATGTCTCTTTCAATTCTGATTTCCTTGGTGCCTGCATTTTATTATGTGAAGTTGTCCAATTGGGAGTTATCCACTCTCCCCCATTCAGCTTTTCAGTTATTCATTTCAGTGTAGACTCATGGATATTTTCTTTACTCTATAGATAAAGATGGATATCCACTACATTACTTTTTTTTTCTGAATTATCCCACATTTGGCCTCTGTCTTTTCAACATGTCCCTATCCTTTCTCGAGTAACGGTATACAGGTTCATTTTGTTTTTATCTTAACCCCAGTTGTGAAACCCACCATTTCTCCTAGGATCCCTGGTTCCTTAAGGGAAATAAGATTTGAAAAGCAAGATATGTATCAGAATTTCATTTTTCTTTTTATGGCTTTCTCTGTGTAAACCACATATTTTCTGTTGATGAACACTTGGGTATTTCCACTCTTTTACTTTGAATAATAGAGCTAGTGGCTATCCACATTGAACAATGATTCTATGAACACTGGTATAGAAATTTCTGAGACTCTGTTTTCATATCTTTTGGGTAGATACTTAGAACTAAAATTGCTAAGAGTCATGGTAATTCCCTGTGTGGCTTTTTGAGAACTATCCAGTTTTTGTAATGAAAAGTTTCAAAGACAGAAGAGAGCATAATAAACTTTCACATATTTAGCAACTAGAACTAATAGTTACCAGAACTTTGCCATATTTTGAAAATTAGAAATACAGTGATACTTTGGTCCTATATTTGTATGTGTACAGATCACATTTTAAAATAACTACAATTTCATATCCCTAATATTAACTAGAATCCCTAAATATATCTTAAAATAAATCCCCATGTAAATTTGTTAGTTGTTACAAAGATATCTATGATAGTTGGAAGAAATCTGAATCCAAGCTGGGAATGCATTTTTATCTAGGCTACTTTTATCTTGATTTGGCAGATTTATTAATTTATTTATCACGTGTTTAATTTCTTAATTTATTTTAATATAGGATATTTCCCTTTTTATGTGTATGTTAAATGCTTTTAATATTTGATCTGTTTAAATTTATTTCATTTTGGAGGAATTTGATTCTCTTGTTTTTTACATTCTTAATGATTTTACTCATTAGTTTTTGGGCTTGCCAGGTGGTGCTAGTGATAAATTTGTCTGTCAGTGTGGGAGACATAAGAGACACAGGTTCAATCCCTGGGTTGGGAAAATCCTCTGGAGGAGGAAATGGCAACTCACTCCAGTATACTTGCCTGGAGAATCCCATGGACAGAGGAGCGTGTTGGGCTACAGTCCATAAGGTCACAAAGAGTTGAGTATGACTGAAGCGACTTGGCACACAAGCATCCATGCACTAGTTTTTAGTGTATTGAATGCATTGTGGTGAGTTAATTGGTTTAGATTATTTCTGCCTTGAGATTTTGCATTGTCTCTATCTCATATATTCTCTTTCCCATTCTGTGTGTGTGTGTGTGTGTGTGTGTATGTATGTATATATCATATATATATATGATATATATATGTATACAGACCATATAAATACCTTTATGAATAATATATGATGTATGTTTATATAGGTTATTAAAGAAGTACCATTACATATTTGTAACTATGTTAGTGTTGCTAGGCAGAGAAGGCAATGGCACCCCACTCCAGTACTCTTGCCTGGAAAATTCCATGGATGGGGGAGCCTGGTGGGCTGCAGTCCATGGGGTTGCTAAGAGTCAGACATGACTGAGCGACTTCACTTTCACTTTTCACTGTCATGCATTTGAGAAGGAAATGGCAACTCACTCCAGTGTTCTTGTCTGGAGAACCCCAGGGATGGGGGAGCCTGGTGGCTGCTGTCTGTGGGGTCACACAGAGTCAGACACAACTGAAGCGACTTAGCAGCAGCAGCAGTGTTGCCAGGAAAGATGTGTATTGTCCAGTGTAGAATTCTAAGTAGCTGTATAAGCTTCTAAGAGATCTATATCTCTATCATTCTGTTAGACATGATTTTAGTCTTACTAAGTTGACATGCTGTTGATTAGTTGCTGACCTTTATTCTTTTTTTGTTTTATTTCATGTAGGAAGTTTGACAATATTTTCAGTTTTCTGTGAACTCTTGGCTAATGGAATGTCTTAAAATATTCCCCAGATGAGACTCTGATAATGCATCTTCCATTTTTCCATCTTCTTATTTTATTCAAAAAATAACATCTGAGATCTAGTTTTATTTTTTCTGAATGTATTTTGTTACCTCAAGATTTGGGGACATTAACATTTTTAAGATATACCATCATACTATGTCTAGAAAAATATAAAATGTAATCATTCCTTATATCATAGTGGGATACCTAGTCCCACCTATGAAATATTTCTTGATAAAAATTCTTATTTAAACTTCTTTTATGTTTTTAAAATTGTTGTATTGTTCAACTCCACAACTGAAGAATTATGCCTTTTGTTTCTTTTGGTTTGTTAATCATGGTTCTACAGCAACCCTGGATTTTAAGATTTTCACATCATTTCTCTTTGGAGGCAGTCAGGCCATTTTCCCTTCAAACTTTTGAACGTTTGTATTCTTGACATGGTACCTCTGGTGGTATTTGCTATTTTCATTTTTTTGTGGCATTTAGATTTTAAGTGCCTTATCAGACTGGTTTTATTCATTCCTTAATGATGTATTTTAGAAATGTTTCTAATTGCAACACACCACCACTCATTATAAGGACATTATTACATCATAGTGTTTGTATATCTTTCTATAGTGTGAAGAATTTTTTGGTATTTAATTTTGGCATCAGCTGCTCACTTAAAAAATCATGGCCTTATTCATTATTTCATTAATAGTTGCACATTGCTCTAAGTTAAAAGGAATTTCTTGATTTAAATAGGAGCTTTCTACAACTATGTTGATTTTTAATTCAGCTGAAAACAAAAGATGAATCCTTGATTACTTCCATTTCATTATCAGTTGTAAAATAACTAGCAAGTCTCCAAAGGGTGATTAGTGTAAATTCATGTACTGTAGTCTAAAGACAGAAAAAACTGCAAATAAACTTGAGTATTTAAGAGTTGTATTGCTAATATTATATTGCTGATACTGTGTTAGGAATCTTGTGTACACATAAAGATGTAAGAGAATTCTGAGTATTCAAGTATGTATTCATTCTACAGAATTCACTTGTATAGCTTATAATTAGGATATTTTTCCTTCACCTTTATAAAATTCATTTTTATTCTATTTAGATTTGTATAGCAAATAATGCTTGGTTTTTATTTACCTTTTAAATGCTTTATTTACCTTTTTGTGTTTCCTTTCCACTTTACAAAGTGTTTTATTATGTTCCATTTGTTACATTCTTTTCACTGTCTAATATTGGAATGATGCACAGTATTGTCTTCATCTAGCTCATACACTTTAAAATAGTCTAAATATATGTTTAATGTTCAAACAGTTTATGAGTATGTTACTTTTGACACTCTTTGCTTGAAGGTTGAATATAATAAAATGTTCTCTCTTACCACACAGAAAAATGAGGTGACTTGACAGCAGTCCTATAAAGGACAGCTATGTGAGGTTTCCATTTTAGCTTACTATTGGCCCAGAGATGAACTTAAATTTATCAGTAACTTGCTTCCAAATGTACAGCTACAGACCAAGGACAAGGCAACTGCAATAAAAACTACAAAATGCAAAGTTTGAATGTGAGACATATAGCAATCATTGTTCTTTAGAAATTTTAAAATTGCACTGGGAAGATCCTGTGAGTACCCTCAGTCTTGGGCGGGTGAAGCATGTTTAAGTCTTCAGAGATACTCATTTGTTCTTTCTGGTCCTGTCTTGGTCTCTGGCACACTCTTCCACTACTGTTATCCTGCTTATTTATTTCTGTGATATGCAATGTGAGAAATGCTGTACTGCTTTCTGTACTCTGAGAGAAAGTTTCTTGGATAGTATAACTCACTGTAAAATGTAGCATGCCAGTGTTGCTTATTTTCCAAGTGTTTACAGATTTTTCCTGTTGTCTTTCTGTGTTGATTTCTGATTTGAATCCACTGTCAGAGAATATACCCTTTTTGGTTTCTTTTATTTTAAATTTGTTTAGATTTGCTTGTTTTATGGCTTGAGCTGTGGCCTATCTTGGTAGATGTTCCTTGGGGAAATCTGTGTTTTCAGGGAGCACTTTATGTTGATTATGTTGTTCAGTTTTGTATATTCTAGCTGATTTTTAGTATAGTAACCTATTAATTGCTCAAAGTGGGCCATGTGAGTCTCCCAACTATAACTGTGGATATACATGAGCATTTCTGTACTAGTTTGTTTCAAAAATCGGTTTATATTACACATAGGCTACATCATATTCTTCCCATCCAGCAATACCTCGTGAAAATCTCTTCCAGTCAATCATAATAAAACTCTAACTTTTTAAAGAAAAAGCAGCATACCTGAAATGTGTCATGGGTAGAAGACTTCAGTAGATTGTGTGCAATTCTCCTTCATCTCTTACCTGTACTGATCATATAATCAAGTGTTAAAGCAGAGCTGGTACAAAAGGAGAATATCCTGGAAAATTAAACCATAGCATGAAAAGTAATTGTTAAGCCTGTGAGACTTTGAAATTTCTTTGAGTTTGACTAATATAGATGGATAAATTGCAGAAAGGAATTCAAGACTTGGTGCATAGAATGGTATTCAAGAATTTTTGCATGAGTGCATAGAATGGAGAGTTGGATTGATGGTTTAAAACTTGGTTGTATGAGTGGATAAATGGAAAGAAAGATGTAATGAAGAGATTTTATACATAATCAAGCTTATGTAGATTTAAGAATTAGTAGGTGAAATAATGCAAGATTGGAAAGAAAGAGGAGTGGGAGAGATGGATGCAAGAATCTATTGCTTTATGGAATTTAGGGTAGAGTAATGGATTGCTAAGTCACTTCAGTCATGTCTGACTCTGTGCAACCCCATCCCTGGGATTCTCCAGGCAAGAACACTGGAATGGGTTGCCATTTCCTCCTCCAATGCATAAAAGTGAAAAGTGAAAGTAAAGTCGCTCAGTCATGTCTGACTCTTCGCGACCCCATGGACTGCAGCCTACCAGGCTCCTCCATCCATGGGATTTTCCAGGCAAGAGTACAGGAGTGGGGTGCCATTGCCTTCTCCGACAGTAATGGATAAATGATGCAAATTTGACTGAAGGTAAGACTGGACGGAAACTAGAATATATATGGATGGATGGCTGGGTGTGAAACAAGCAGTTGTATATATGGATTGATGGACTTAATATTCAGTGAAAGTATAGATAGATACCTAGACATTAGAATTTGATTAGATTCCAGAATGGAATGTTAGATTCAGAGATAATATGGGTGTTTAGATTGTTAGATGCAGATATGTCTGGCTAGAATAATGGATTAATGTAGGAATCAGTGCATATAGATGGACTGATTGCCTGAGCATCACTGATGGTTTCAGGGTGGCCTTCTGAATGGATTGATGCATGGATAGATTGGTTTAAGAAAGGACAGTAAAAGAAGTTTTACTATTGAAATAATAGACCAATACAGTAATAAAGTGATATAAGTTGAAGACTTACTACAAGTGCCAACTTTACCTTCTGTGTTTTGTGTTGGTATGGTATATATCACAATTTCCCCATATTTCCCAGTTTGCCTTTTAGTTGGGTCACTACCTGACATTTCTATAATCAGTGAAAATATTTGTACTTGTTTATAATTTCTATGAATTTAATTCTTCAACAGTGCTAGTAATAATTGGTAATGCAGGTATATTCTTTGTTCATTGTTTCATCAGTTTAAAGTGAAATCTATTAGTATTATTTTTAAATTCTAAAATATATGAATTCCAAAAAACATAGATTGTTGATTGTGGAGTGGTTGCCACAGAAGAGGCTCTTGAGATAAAAAGGCTGTTGAAAATAGTATTGGTTCATAAATCTTAGGGTTTTGATTTACTACTCTTACCTCCTCTTACCATAGAATTTATATTTAGACAAAGGCTATAACCTCTGTACCCTCAATAATTTTTACATTTATTTAAGTATTAAATGTTTGGGAATAAATGTATTAATGGTAGCTGTATAGAGGGAAGGAAGGATGCCAAGCAGGTGAGAAAAAATGAAACAGGTATAAAGAGACATCACAAAGCGAAGTTACTAGAAAGTAGAATTTGCTGCAGATAATGTGGATCTTGATAATAGCAAGAGGTGAGTTTCTATTCCTAGATGTGTGATTTACAGTATTACTAACATTATCAGTGGGGCGGTATGGTAGATAGACAGGACAAGTGAAGGAATATCCCAATATCGGTGTGATGGAAGGAGGTTCTAACACTCTCTCACTTGCAGAGTGAATGGAGATTCTTCACATATTTTCAAACTTCTCTTCTCCCCTGCTTTTCTTTTCTTCCTTTCCTTTTCTTTCTTTCACAAGCATCTTTCATAATCAAAGGACCAAAGAAATTTGGGCTGTAGGTAAGAGCCTTAAGGGCTATAGTCTTATTTTTAAGAGAGTCTTGTTATGTTTCTTTTCATCAAATGTTATGTGGTCTTTGTGATCATTTGAGTTTAATCTCAGATTTTTGAGTTGTCTCTTGTTAGTGAAAAACACTTAATGAAGTCAATAGTTAAAATACAAGGAGTTTTCTTGCAGTTATGACCATCAGAAGTTGCACCAGCGGGGAGAAGTGGATATTGTGATAATGGGTTTTGATTTTGGAAAGATTTCCATGAAATAATAAGGAATTCATAGTGCACATTATTACCTTTTGGTTGTGCCATTGTCTTTTTATTTTATTTTTAACTCTGAACTGGTCTATAAGTTTGCAGTAAGAAGTTACATTGGAAATGATATTTCAAAGAATGCATGTGTGGTTAAATGGCTTGAAAATAATTTTGAATACAAGATGGGTACCAAGGTCTCAGTAAATGAGCTGAGGAAATAAAATTACAGTTTCATCATTTTTGTACTTACACCTGGTGTTTGTAGCCAGGAGATAGATTTTTGTAGTCAGGATGGTGAGAGTTGTTTTCCATGGAGTAGCAGTTAAATCTTGACATAAAGATAATACCCATCTGTCATAAAGCCTGGCTACGTGATAACCTGATGTTTATTTTTGTTTGCAATCTCTCCCTCTGTACTCTCCCAGGTGGTGAACATGTGGACAAGAGGATCATAGATATCTTCTGCAGTGGTTCCATCCACAGCACTCAAATGTTGTCATTATTTCCCCCTTTTGGACATTATTGCATCTTCGTATCCCAAGGGCACAACTTTTGTATATGTATACTCAGGAATAGAATTGGCGTGCTTTTGAGAAGTAATTGACTGAAATGTTTGTACTTCTCTGTGCCCTGAATATATCTTGTGTGTTTCTTTATTGTTGTATTTACCATTGCATTTTTTTATCCATGTTTTACTTTACAAATGTGAGATTTGTGTCTGATAAATGTAATTAATGCAACCCTATGGACACCTTAGTCTTGTCCCAGGTAATAGCCAGGTTTTCTCACGAGCTCAGTGCCGCCCATGTGCCAGTTTTGGTATAATTTGTAAGATACTTTGTTTCTTATTTGAATCAGGAGCTCATCATTTTTAGAGGGGTCCCAAACAAGATGTTGTTAAAATATTTGTATTATCTGCAACAGACTTCTCCAGTTTTCCTCTTTATTGTGTGAACTACATCTCATGTAGAACAGGATCTGATTCTTGATTATAGTTGTCATCTTTCCCATACATGAGTTTAAGATCTTGATCCCATCACAACTCTGGTTGTGTAAGGAGAGCCAGATCCTTCTGTTGATATTTTATGCCATGATAATGCAAGCTTGTAAAAAAATAGTTCCATAATTTTCTTGGCTATACTGACATTTTCTTCTTTGGGACTGGAGTAGAAAAAAACACATGAGGTTTTCCTTTAAGTTCACATTAGTCTGATGTTCACCTAAGTGGGCTTAATATACATGGTGTGTTTACTGAAAGTTTTGTCTACTTCTGGAACATCAGATGCACTGTCTTATCAGGGAACTACTAACTGCATTGACAAACCTCTCTCACTATACAAGCCTGATACCTAGTACATTGAAACTGGGAAACCAAGAATGAAGGGTTAGTAAACAACTTAGACTGTAGTCATTTATCCTTCATCCTACATTCCTACTTTCTAGGAGTGACAAGAGTTGACTATTTGTGGTATAGAGGTCAGTAGTTTGTCTAAATTTATTTAAGTTTATGTTGAGTTTATTTTACAAGTATGCCATCATTATGATATTTGTTGTTTTACAACTTTACTTTTTCTTTAATATTTTCCAGAAATTTTCCAAACCAATAAATGGAGCTTATCTACAGAGTTTCCACTGGCTATATAAGTACATATTATAATTAATTTTCCATTTCTTTATTTGGAAATGCAGGTTAAATTTGTTTTTATTGTTACATATAATTCTGTCATGTATATAATTTTATATATAAAAATTGGTCTAACTCTGTGATAGATTTTTAGATGTGGAATTGTTGGACCATCAATTCTGCATATTTTAGTTTTAGTAGATACTGTAAATTTGCTCCTGAAATGTTTTCTAGGACAGCAAACATAAATGGAGAAATGGTAGTCCTAATTTTCATAAAAATTATACATGGTGGATATTATCAGTCCTTTAACATTTTATCCAATCTAATAGGTGAAAATAGTATTTTTAACTTAAATGTAAATAGTAAGTAGCCGTGAATAAAAAAATATAGTGACAACTCTATTCACAAGAGTTGTCAGAGGTAGAAACCATTGACCTCTTCTAAATGTAGTGCTTTGTGGGGGTTTACAAACTTCCTAAGTAAGTGTTTATTTTTTCTGAATTTATTTTTGAAGTGATTTTACATTTAGAATTGCAGAGATCTATAAAGAACCTCCATATACACTTCACCCAGATTTTTTCTACATTGTTTTGTTCTTTTTCTAATTTTTCCTCCCTTCCTCCCCATCTCTCCTTCCCTGTTTCTTTAACTTTCTACCTGCCCAATAATTGTTCTTATTTTAAGAATTCCTTAGGAATAAGTTCTAGATATGTCTAAGTAACCCCAAATACTTCAGCATTCACTTTGTACGATGCAGGGCATCCTTTTAAATTAACCTTGGTACATTTTTCAAAATCATGAAATTGATCAGTAGTACAAATATATTACACTAAGACACGGTCTATATTCAGATTTCACCAGTTCTAAAATGTTTCCTTCTGTAATTTCTCCACCTTCGAGGACCTAGGAAAGGATCCTCTGTTACATTCAAGATGTTCACCTGTTTTCATGAATTGACTGAGGAGTCCAGGTTCAGATTTGCTATAGATCAATATTCCATATAAAGGGTACATCCCCAGTGTTCCTCCCTACTTTTGTTTGCTTTGTTAGGCTTCCATAACCTAATCTAGTGTCTGAGCCTGATGGCAAGTGAATGCCAGTCTTCTGTGGTACTGTGTATAGATGTGTATAGATTGCTACAATGGTTACATTGGCTAAAATCTGTATGTCGCTAAATTCTATGTTATCTGTAAGTAACCAGAGAACTATAAGCAATCTTCCAGTCATAATTCCAAATTTTATGCCAGAATAAAGATATTCTGACTTTTGAAAAGTGGTGTGGTTGAATTGATGAAATGTTCTTAATCATCCTGAATATGATGAGTTTCTAAATCTGACTCTTTGGTGCTAAGGCACAAGTCAGGAATGGAAATGTCATAGCAATTCATAAATTATAAACCAGTGCAGTATTTGCCGAGGCGTCATGACCTAAGGCGCTGGTAAAAACGGTGACGTGAGTGTCCCCTGCTCTCTGCTTCTAGCTTTGTGCTTAGTCTCTGATGACGGTCTTGTAGCGGAAGCTCAGTAAACGTCCTTCTGTGCTTTAAGGGGAGTATGGAAGTGAAGCCAAATTACTGATTGTAAACAAATGAAGTATGAGCTAAAAGAATGTGCAAATAAACAGGCAAATGAATTACCGTTAAAGAAAATTGTCATCTAAAGAAGGAGAAACAATTGAAGACAGTCCAGGAACTAAGGGAAGTTTGTTATTATTTTAATATAAATATGGGGCTTTCAAACCTATCATAAGAGTATCTTGGAAAATTTGAAATCTGCCTGAATAAACTACATCCTCTTCCATTTCTTTTTTTTTACCAAATTCGTAGATTCAGCCTCAATCTAGCAAAACCTTAAAATTCCCATAGAATGAAGGAAGTTTTTAAAAATTAAATAGGAAATGATAATAGGAAACCATTTTGCTACTTAATTATTCTCTGGGATGTTAGCTGTGCTACCACACACCTTTTGATACATGAAAAAGTGAAGAGTAGTCCCAAAGAGAACTCAGTCTCTCTGATTTAAAAGTAAATGCAATGTCCTTACCTTGGAGAAGAGGGCAGGGATGCAATATGGCTGGATCTTTTTCATGAGGAAAGGTACTTTTCAAGGTAGCTGCTTGAAAACATGTAATGAAGATACAAAGAAGAGTGAACACATAGGTGACCATAGCACACAGGGACTCCTCGTTAAAAATGGGCTCAGCTATTACTTAGAATCTCCAGTCACAGTGGAGCGTCTTCCTCCCATAAGGAGCAGAATGAGTTAGTCTTAGGAAAAATTCAAGGAGAAGTACATAGCCTCTCAACTCTCCATTATCTCTTGACTTTTATTGCTCGCTGATAAATCATTTATGCAGAATTCCATGACTGTGATTCTTGGGGTATTTGGTTTAACAAACACAGGACACTAAGTTAATTTCAAGGCAAACTATATAAATGGTTGAAGATACTGCCTCCACATTTATTTGCCCATTTAAAATGTCCTTGGGAATTCATCATATACATTATAAAACAAATCCTGTTGTCTTTATTTAAAGTTTTTCCATAATTAAGTCTTAATATTTATTTTCAAGAACTATAGACTAAAAATTTCTTCCCATAATGCCTCATTTAGCATTTTTCAAGATATAATGTTCTCACATAGTCCTTGAGGCAAGAGTCATTGCATGGTTCAGTAGCTGTATTTGATTATTAATTAATACCAACTGTTTTTGTCTTTTAGACTTTTCAAATTTTGACTTCTACAGTACTTAAGTTTTATGTATTCAAGCAAGGTATGTAGGATTAAGATCACTGTGGTAAAAAATGGAAATAAGAAAGCAAATTACATGGTTATTTCAATAATCACATGAAAGGTGGTGTGCTAGGCTTGTTGACATGGAAGTGTTGAGAAGTACTGAGATTTAGAATGTGTTTTGAAAGTGTTGAGGAAATATTGAATGATTCTGCGTAGGATCAGAAGATAATTCAAATAGGAGAAATAAGATCAGGGCCTTAGCACCTGAGTGAATACCATTTACCATTCTATAGAATATTGGGTTTCTTAGAATGCATGATAAGAAAGAGATACATTTTGCCAGCCTTATATTCATATTAATCCCACAGATTAAGGTATTGGTTTTTATGGCAGAAATATTATTCTGGGGCTTAGGGGGGAAATGGGCAATTGAGATGTTACTTTTGATTAATCAACACAAGATTGTTACTTATGGCCACAGGGAAGGAGGAGATCTAGGCATGAAGTATATGTAAAAATAGGAATGTATTCACCTGAAGATTGTGCCTTGTATGCACAAGCATTTAGATATTGAATTAATGGGGGCCATCCAATGAAGGAGATTGTCAACAGTGGCTAGAGTCATTGACTGAGGACCAAAAGATTGTATTGTCCATGAAGAGAAACAAAGATTGAATTTGTAAAAGTAATTCCAGGGATAGCAGTTAACTTTGCATGGCATTGAAAGGCACAATTAAGTTTGGAAATGAAGTAAGAGAAGATCACTGATTTTTAATAAAAATGCTATATGGAAAGGGAAAGGTAAATAGTACTTTTAATATTGTCAAGGCCAATTCAAAGGATCCCCCTGAGTCAACAATTTGCCCTGAAGTACTAGTGTCAGTCTGGTACAGACACATGCTGATATCTGTGAATTGGTTGCCTGAATCATGATAATAAGGATGCATGTCAGTTATACAGGCCGAGATCCCTTCAGAATTCCACACTATATACATATAGAATTGATTGTCTTCATTACAAGCCATTGGTATTACCATAATAACCTTCATTCATCTGTATGCCTGCAGTTCCACTTGTGTCTATCTGTTCCTGTATCCTTCAGCCATGGAAGAATATCTCATCAAGGCAAGGTTGTATAGTAGTTTCAGAGATTCTGGCTTTTGTGAGATACTGAGAAAAGACTGTTGGAAAAAGGAATAATGGATGAGGAGCAAAGAGAATAAAAGATGGTGCTAGGAATCAAGGAACCAAAGTCAGGTGGGATGTAGAGAAGGTAGAATTTTTAAGGAAAAAGCTACAAGGGCAAGGTTAAGGTGTCCTGAACCCACATTTTCTAAGATAGCTCTAGAGCAGCAGTCCCCAGCCGTTTTGGCACCAGGGACCTATTCATGGCAGACAGTTTTCCCATGGACCAGGGTTGGAGGGACGGTTTCAGGATGATTCAAGTGCTTTACATTTATTGTACACTTTATTTGTAATCTAATGTTGATGCCAATCTGACAGGAAGTACTAGTCCACAGCCCAGAGGTTGGGGACTCCCGTTCTAGAGGATAGTAAATGTTATTAATATCATTAACATCAAGGAGAAGACAGGACTGTATGATGATCTTTCCCAATTGAATATTTCCAGAAATTTATTGCATTACTAGCTAGTGGTTTGGAAATGAGTTTGAACTGTTTTGGCCCAAACTGTCTAAATTGCTACCATTTAATACATAGCATGCTTTATTATGTCTCTGAAATGTTAAGAGACATAATAAAGCATGCTATGTATTAAATGGTAGCAATTTAGACGGTTTTTGTTTTATTAGATTTTGTTTTATTGTTTTGTCTGCTTAAGTAGACTAGAAATAATGAGCTCCTTTTGACAGGGATGTTTTCCTATTAATATTTTACTTTCCATTTATCATCTCATAGAGTCTACCATATAACAGGTGTATAATTATAACTGTGGTGTTTAAAGTACTTTAATGCTTGGATGAATGAAAGTTTGATGATTTAGCCAGTCACTTAAAGGGCAAGGAAAGTAAGAGTTTATAGAGACCCCACATGAGGCAACTGTTTGAGAATGTGATAGTGATGGATGAGGAAATCATAGATATTGTATCTTATGCTGAGTTGGAATGCACAAATACAGATTTAATACTGGGGAGTCAAGCATCTGCTGAATTAGACTGTTGAAAATTGCTGGTTGAGTTATAAATCCCCATTCATTGTTGTGGAGTAGTATAATGCAGTCTTTTGTTTTTTTTCCCTTCCTGCTTCTATAGCATGTACCAAGAGATAGCCTGTTCTTTTCCTACCGTGTTCTTTCAAACAAAAACAATCCAAATCTTCCAAAGAGAGAGCTTTATAGATAGTATACTTTTTCCTCTGGATAGGATCAACATATTTTGTAATATTGCTCCTTTTAAGCAATGTATAATATCCCTAAAAATATTCATTTTCTCTGTAATATTAAATTTTTCTAGTTTTAAAGTTTCCTTGAAAGTGAGAAGCTAATCTTGAGGAGGGACTGTGAACAGATCAATACTAAGACATTAAATTGTAGCATGTAGTCTGTTATGGATGGTTAAATTGTAGCATGTAGTCTGTTATGGATGGTTTTCAATCATGAGAAGGAACAACACAGTACAGTCTATATGGCTGATTTCAGTGAGAACTTTTAATGTTTATATTTATGTCTTGGAACTTC